TCTGAGCAGACAAAGCATTTGCAAATATTTTTGGCTTAGGCAAGCCCTATATTTTTTAATGTTCTTGGATGCCTACAAAATATCACTGGAATCAGAAATAAACACCATCTTATAACAGCAGAATACTGAATGCTGACAACTAAAACAAGGTCAACCAACCTAACTTTACTACATGTCTCCCTAGTTTAAAATAAACAGCTTTTGTTCTTTTTACTCTTTCTATGTGATCCCCTTACGCATCTTGAAAAAACAGTGAGTAGGTTGACCTCTCTGCTTATAGCACACAAGCTCTTTTTATACCCTTGTGCAGTGTTTCACAATGCCTGGAATTAGGTCTTGCAATATATACCTAAGTCAACATGCCTGGGCACACAGAGCCTTAGGAGAGAGGCTTACAGTAACTTAGGTAGGGCACATCAGGGCATTATTTGCAATGAATAAGAAACACTAATGTAGGACAGAATATAAATTTGTTTTCAAAAGCAAAGGCATCTCTACGGGCAGCTGACGTCATTCAAGACGACAAGTAGGTTACAGATGTGTGTGGCAGTGGTTTGGACTAATATTCAAGAAGGAAATTACAGCAGTTGAGAGTCAGGGTGAAAAGCAGTGCAACAAATATGGCAAGGTGTCAGGTACCATCATCAACGTATTAAGTGCCACTATTTAGGCTCTATCAGGATGATGCTAAAGCAGCAACTAAAACATTCTTACAGACAATGTTCCCACAGAATAAAATCAAACACCTCCTCATACAAACCTGAGAGCTTCTTGAACACATCAGAAACAGCCAAAACAGAGGTAATATTTTACAGGTAATAAAGGTTGATGTGACCCATGGGCCACACTCTAGGGACCCTTTCTTTACTGTAGGCCTCATAAAAGAATATTCCTTTCATTTGTCTGTGTTGAGAGAGGCTTCAGACCATGTCTGATGTCTTCCTTTCAAGTCAGATAAGGACATGTACTTACATCAACTAAAAATACATGTAAATCATCATACTACTATGATCAAATCAAAAATAAATGGAACAAAGTAATAATCACAGAAACCGTTATTATTTCACTGAAATAAGATGTCTCCATCACAGAGGATTTCTTTATCCTTTCCAGCACCAGATTCCAACTCCAAAACTGAGTTATCTTAACTTTGAAGTGCCTTCAACAATGTCAGAGCCAGGGCAACTGCAAGGATTTGCAAAGCAGCTATAGATACTCAGCACACAGGGGTAGGTAATTGAACAGTCAAAACTTTGTACCATCACTTAAATATAAGCATTTATTTGAAAATAATCCATTTCTAGAAACTATTAGCTATTAAGGGTCAGAAATACTCTAGTTGATAATCATTCACCATCTGACATGATAATACTACTTATCTTACTCTATTCCCTCAAGCAGAAAAAAGAAATAATTGAATAGAGTACATCTTTTTATCAACTATCCTAACATCGACATAAACACATCGTGTACTGTATTTCCAATAATCATTTTGTGCAGTTAACATCAAACACAAATATCTCACAATCAGCTATGAACCTTGTATCTGTTTGTTAAATATGCAATTACTCACAGGAATGTTGATGAAAACAGTATCAAACTCTGATGCTGACAGAAACCTTTTCAATGGCACCATGAAAAACTGCAAGAAAAAAATTATATATACATTGGCTATTGTAATTAGATTTTATACACTGATAAAAAAAATGCATGTTACAATCCTCTAAGCAGCATCTTACTTTCTCGATCGATTCCAGAGTTTCAGTGTATTTCTCTTCAGTTTGCTTTATTTCAGCAAGACAACAGCTTCTTATGTCATTTTCAGTACATTTCTGCAATTACAATGGAGTCAAGTTTAAGTCATTAACAGGCACCTAATGGATTACAAATGTTTTTATTTGTTTAGAATTATGCAATTAGGATAACTGCTTCCTGAAATTCTCCGAGTACTGCAACCTCCAAAGATGACAGCAATAACCAAGAATATCTTAATGTTCAATTAGCTGATGACTTTAGTAAAATCAAAATCAAAGTAATATTATGAAAAGTTAATGTTCAGACATAAAATGCTAAAGTATCTGCATGTATTTCGGAAGCTGAAACACAAGGTCACATTTCATTTACATCCAGAGAAATCCTATTTAAAATACTCAGCAGTTAATAATTCCATTAGACTTAATGGGTCTAAATCATGTAAGCAACTTTGCATTGCCATAAATATTCAATTCAGTCTAATCCCTGCACTTATTTACAGTTTTTCCCCTTTTAGTTCTCAAGGGCATTTTTCTCTTTAGACACAATAGGAGTATGTCCTCAAATCAGGAACCGCAGTGACCTCCAACTTCAACTCTTGCCAATGTATGTGTGTGTCTCCAACAAGACCCCGGGATTTTTCCATGTAAACCACCAGACTAATAGAAATTTGAAGCAATTATCAGCACAGGACTCTATAAAAATACTTTACAAGCAATCAATGAAGACCAGATTTACAGCATTACAGCTTCAATAAGTTTAAACTACAATAGAACCTGATTTCAAATAAAAGGGTAAATAACTGGAAGAAAATATGGAACCATTCGTGTCAAGCAAGACTTAGAAGATCTGGAGATAGATACGTCAGCTTGGAGACCTGACACAGTAACTGGACAGGCTCTTGCAATTATAAGCAGTAATAATCCAAAATGCTTTCTCCAAAACCAACAATAAGCAGGGTCTTAATAAGCAACAGTACTACCACATCCAAGTATGTCCAAGGGCTAGAATCCTTCCACTCCCTCTCTCTGCTACCAGTCTGACACACCTGCTAAACATACAACAGCACACAATAAGCCACACTTAAACTGTCCATAAGCCACATACAGCTGCTATGACACTGCTTGGCCACCTATGTAGAGTGGGAAATTGGGAAATGTATTCCTACCATCTCAACTAGACACCAAATTACAAATCATAACAAGCACATAAAGCTCGGTCACTGCTCACACTTGTTTGCTGCTTTGATGGATCTCTTTTACCCTTCTTTGTTTTTCTCCATGTGACTTCACAAGCAGTTCCTGTGAGTGGAACATGGCTTCTCACTCTGAGAAATTACTCTTGAAAACCCAATTAGCTACATTTTAATTTTCCCACAACAAACATTAAGCTGATATCTTCATCAGATGCAGACACAAGTAACCATTTTGCAAAAACACAGTCTTATCAGAAGATTTGTACTTGGTGAGCAACATCTGTTGCTGATCACCCTATTCTCAAATCCATTCTTCTTTCCCAGATTCTTTGGCAAGGAGAGCAGACACTGTCACAGTTAACTGTATTTAATCAATCCCAATAAAGAATCGGGTTATGACATTATTTGACACAGTTATTTTTCACCTTTACCTTTGTGAGCCCAACGCTATTCAAATTGCTTGCAGTATTTGCCCCAATACAGAAGTTGCTGTACTCAATAGGAGTTCATATCCATTTGCAAAATGAGGGGGTTTGTTGTTCACAAGTCTCATATGAGCAATACAAACAAGTCCTGAGATTTCACTTAAAACCATTCACTTCAGTTTCGTGCTCAAATAACCTAAGGAGATCATTCACAAAGCCACTTTCAGCAGAAATTAATATATCCACTCTTCTATCTGTACCATAAACTACTGAAATTTGAGCGATATAAACAAAAGGAGAGAAGGAATAACAAGCAACGTGCAAATACAAGCACAGGTGAGAAAAACTGCCTTTCAAGGTCAATTACTGCTAGAGGAAACAGTGGAACAGTTTGCTTCACAAGACAATGATGACCTCTTGATCAACAAAAACTACATGGTTGAATACACAGGAAAATCATTAGGATGAATGTTCAAACAACAGCTGAAACAATAATATTTCACAGTATGATAATTATGGAGGTAGGACACTTTGAAGTAAACAGTTCAATTAAATACTCTTAAAATAGCTGGTAAATTTTACTAAAGTAATTAAGCTAGGATTTGAAAAACATACAGGTTGCTGTGCTGCTTCATCTTTCATTAGGTCTTCATAAACCTCCCCACCTTCATCTTCTCCATAGACACAATCATACAACTCCTCATCTTCATCAACACCAGTTTCACTGGGAAAAAAAAGACAATAAAAAGAAGTTGTGTAGCACAGGCAAAGGTAAATTTTACTAAAGTAATTAAGCTAGGATTTGAAAAACATACAGGTTGCTGTGCTGCTTCATCTTTCATTAGGTCTTCATAAACCTCCCCACCTTCATCTTCTCCATAGACACAATCATACAACTCCTCATCTTCATCAACACCAGTTTCACTGGGAAAAAAAAGACAATAAAAAGAAGTTGTGTAGCACAGGCAAAATCAGCTCTGAAAAAAAGACAAAAAAAGAAGTTGTGTAGCACAGGCAAAATACCATCAGCTCTGCAAAGGACTATTCTTCATATACTTCTATAGCAAACAGACTGCCTAAGAGAATATCTAATGACAAGAACTCCTTAATGGAAATTAAGTATATTAATTTTCTTTTCCTTCTACAGCAAACAGACTGCTTAAAAGAATATCTAATGACAAGAACTCCTCAACGGAAATTAAGTATATTAATTTTCTTTTCTCAATGCATTTAAAATACAACTGCACAACATCAACGCAATACTGAAGACTCCATGAATTTAGAACCACACAGGAACTAATACAACATCAACACAATACTGAAGACTACATGAATTTAGAACCACACAGGAACTAATTCAGGCACCAAAAGCAATGTCAAGACACCTTTGTCATTCAGCTGCTCTCTTCTCTTTTACTCTTTTCCTACCACATCCAGCGAAGAGGAGTTGCCTCTCCTTACTGCCTGGCACCCACTCAACTGGGATGTGAAGCACTGTTCTATAACAGATGCTTCACATCTATAACTTCTTCCTGCCTAAAGAAAGGATTATCTGGGGTAAAAGACTCTAAAGACCACAGATAGGACTTCTTCCTGCCTAAAGAAAGGATTACCTGGGGTAAAAGACTCTAAAGACCACAGAGTCAGCAGCTGAGAGTGTACCTCCACAATGTAACCAGAATCTTCATCATCTCATGAAAACCTCCAGCTACCCAAAAATGCAAAATGTAACCTATCAAACTGAACATCAGGCAGTGAAACCTCTAGCTACCCAAAAATGCAAAATTTAACCTATCAAACTGAACATCAGGCAGTTCAACAAAACAGAGTACGCACAAGAAACGTTCTCCTATTGCCCAGACTACAGAAATAAAACATCAGATCGATGTTCAACTCCACCCTCAGCTAACTCAGCTTCATCAGTCGGACTACAGAAATAAAACATCAGGTCAATGTTGAACTCTACCCTCAGCTAACTCAGCTTCATCAGTCAGTCCTGCTAGACTGACTACTTTGTGCTAGCACTGCATCAAGTCCCTAACATCCTTCTCTCCTATTTCTTAGGGTATGCCTATTATTACAAAAGTAGTCCAGTCATAATACAGAAACCACATCACATATGGTGATAATTTTGAGATTTTGCCTGTTAGAAGACAACACTGAAATCCTTCAGAAGAAGAATCAACATATAAGTCTAACATTTCAGTTTGCAGCAGCAATGATGGTGTGCTAGCCCTTCACATGAAACACTGGCAGCTGTCAGATGCAGCAGACACTCCATTTTACCACCTCTGCTCCAGGGAACAAAACCTGGCAAAAAGGCAGAGCAAGGGCAGAAACATTTAACTACTACGTCGCTTTCTGACAGGTTGACTTAACTTCATTTTCAATTTCTTAGACACCATTTAAACTCAGGGACGATTTCAGTCAAATACACTTACTAATAATAAAGAGAAACTAAAAAATGTGAGCCATTTGCATCATTCACTGGCACTTTTGTTTCTTATTCCTAAACAATTTTTCCTCCACAAGTGAGACCACATGCAACAAACAAATTTCAATTAATAATACATGTAATTTGATGCAAAAAAAATAATAATTAGGAATAGCAATTTCTTTGGTATTATTTGTTAAACTTTTCTTTTTTAATGAAAGTCTGTCTCCAGTACTGAATTTATATACCTACTTAAGAACAGGTAGAAATAATGCTACCACATCTAAGAGATAAGGCTATCACCTCTAGCTCATTTGGGTCTCAGAGGAGACTGAAAGTGCGATCTTCTGCACACTCAGCTACACAGAGTGAAAAGCAATTATCTATGAGACAGTCAGTCAACTGCAGGAGACAAGCATAAGCTTTGCAGGGAGGTGCTAAATTAAGCAATGCCAGTCATGGTGGTATTTCTCTTCTTCATAGGCTAAAGAAAAATCCACCGTGGGAACAGCAGCTACTTTACCACATTGCAGCAAGTGACATACTATGTAGCCAGAGCCAGTCAAGCACTAATGTCATGAGTGCTGGTGAACTTTGAGCTTTGGGACAGTGAGTTCCCAACCATCTCCTGTCCAACATGATTCCTAATGGCTCTTGAGATCCTAGCCATAGGCTACAAGAGTACCCGGGCAAACCTACAAACACTTACCCAGAAGAGGTTAATGCTCCCATATGAAGGAGCTCATTGACTTTAGGGAAATAACCCACTTGAATTATCATCCAAACAGGCATTTACTTTGCAACATCAAGTCAATTTCCTTGGGTCTCTTACAAATGATACTGTAATTTTCTGGAAGCATTCTCATAGGACAGACAAGTAATTTAGAACCACATTCTTTACTTACTTTGCTACCAGCACCCTGTATGAAACATGCTTCCTGGCATATACAAGTACATCACAATGTAAGGAAAATCATTCAAATAAGGTTTCATAATTAATTCTTCCTGGTCAACATAATGGCTAACAAAATATTTCAAAAATCAAACAAATATCCCATTCTCATTAAAACTACATGTTCTCTAACACTGTATAAATAACAGATACAACTGAAAGCCAAAATCTTTAATTAAATATTTACAACATACTCTAATAAGTCAGGAAGACCTTTGTAAATATCTTCATCATCAACACTTTCTTCTGTAGGAAAGGGCCTATAGAAAGAAAAATAGGATTAATTATAAACAGCACTAGCCTAATCATATAGTGGATTTTTGTTTCCAAAATTTTCACACAGATTATTTTATGTCGATGTGTTTGTATGTTCCACTCTCTCTGATGAACAGTATATGTGCATTTAGACTTCTATAGGCAAATTGACACTTAATATAATTAAAAACTCTACTGGATGGGTTTGTTAGAAATCACCATGAATACATAGCATTGACAGTTTTTCAACTGGAAAAGATAAGCAAAACTGTCAGGGTAGGTCTGGTTGGGTTTTTTGGTTTCTTTTTGAAAATGAGAACCTCACAAACTTGCCAATTTTGCTGAGTTTTTAGAAGGGAGCAACAAGAGGAAACCCATTTGTCTTTACATAAGTCAGCACTGTATCAGCTTGGCTTATGATCCATGTGTCACAATTATCACACAAGTTCTGCAATACCAGTTGCTCATTTGTTTCAGCATGAGACTTATATGTAGTTCAGGCACTTCAGTAAGCATAGCAGAGGCAGAAGATACCTTCTCTAGCTCCTCAGAGGTCCAGAGCTTTGATAAGATGCCCACTGGGGAATCTGGTTTATAACTAGAGAAGATCATAAATGGGGGACACAGCCTATACTGCCTCTAACAACTTTTCCAAGGAGCATCATGCCAGTGCCATGACTCCCACCATTCCCTAGGGCAATAACATACCTTATTCCTGTGCCTAACGCAATAGGAGTGCGAGAAAGTTTTGAAAGTGTTTCTATCACCTGGAGAAGAAGGAAACAGAAAACACAATTAGTTGCAGAACAGAAAAAAAAAAAAACATTTTGTTCTCTATTTTTTCATTATCAGCAGCACTACTTCAAATCAAATTATACAAACAGACAGATTCCAGCTGTGCCAAACACTGAGTGCACCAAACATCCATGAATTTCCCACGAGCTGGTCCTAAAGCCATTTCGTACCAGGAGATGCGATGGAAACACAAAGAAAGGAAAAGAGAAATCAGTTCCTTGGAAATAAATGTCAATTTATTTGGATTTAAAACCAGGTAATATGCCACAAATGAGACACAGAATTTGCAATAGGACCTGGATGCACTTGAAATCAATTTTAGCTTACGAACTGCTCTAAATATTGGGGTTCCTTGCTGGGACGAACACCGCCAGGCTCTGAGCTCGGCAGAGCGAGACCAGCAGAGGGAGCCACAGGCCAAGAAAGCAGCGACCTCGGCTCGGTCCCACGGCCAAGGCATCACCATCCCTTCCTTCTGCATCCTCGGGGCATGGAGCAGCCTGGAGCAGCTCATTCCGGCAAAATGTGCTGAAATTTGTATCATCAGCGAGGGGGAACGTCAGGGAGAGCAAAATACACACACACGGTCACATCCGTGGAGTTGTTCTCCTGGCAACTGTAATAACAAGACCTACTTTTACTCTGCCTGGCATGTCCTGTCACAAATATTTTCTGTTATACAAAGCACTATCAGGTCGGCAAGTCTTACTTGTGAGAGAGATAAAAAGACCCAAAATGACACCATCTGAATTTCCATACTTCCAATGACAAGGTTTCCCCTGAACTTCCCAGAAGTTTCAGCTTGAAACTTTTCAATTTAAAATCCATATTAAGCAGAAAAGAAATCTCCAAAGAAGGTTTCTATCAGTGGTATCAAAATTCAGTACAGCAAGTCTACATTTCATGGGCATTTGGGAATAATCTTGACAATTAAAATAGTTTATTTTTGAAGTTCTAATTACAAGACTACCCTGACCATAAAACGGAGTTAAAAGTGCATCTCTCAGAGGAAGGCAAATTACATGTTTACACAGGAGAATTACAAAGTAAAAACCACAGAGAATAATCACCAGCTACAGAGCTTAAACTGAAGTTACAAAGCCTCCAAAGTGAATCGTATCTCGCATGCAGACAAAAGGGAGAATTAACATTACTCCTGTGGATGAAGCGTTTGGGGTTCCTTTAAGCTGCTGTGAAAATAAGCATCACAGAAAACCTGAAAATCTTACAGAAAAGACAAACAAAACAAATAAATATGCTACAAGCACAATCAAAGGTCTGGGCACATATTCATCTATGAATAGAAGAACTGCAACATGGCCTTGAATAAGCTCTGGAAATAGTGAATAAAAGTTGACTGAATAAATGATGAAGTTAATTACGAAGTATTTCACAATAATCCAAAGGTCAAAAGGGGAAACAGACACCTTCAAAAAGTCTTACTGTTGCAGGGGAGTTGTAGTTTCCATACCAGACCAGTAGAGTCCCAGTGCAGGGATGCAAAGACTGCTGAGCTCCACGAGACAACTGAAAATTCACTAGCTGGCAAAATAATCTGTCCTGACAGAGGGGTGGACATTGATTGGCAAAATCGCAGGAAAGGAGGTTTAATGGTTACCAAAACAGAGAGGGGCAAGTATGGTGAATTGAATATCCCTTTCTTGCTTCAACATGTTAATTCCCAGCACACAAAAAAATCTTTTGCAAACTATTCCACCCACGCAAACCCTTTCCCTTAGAGAGATTCTCACTTATCTAGCATAATCAAACCCAGTAGATGCATAGTTTACTCTTCACAGCTAATTATGGTTGTTTCAAGGTAACACAAAAAAAAATAAAACTGAATTTTAGGTAGGTAACTAGCAAGCATTATTCCCAAAATCTATTGCCAAATTACATTTTACAGCTATCAATATGAACACAAACAAAAGTAAGTTTTGTGAATTAAGAGGAATAGAAAAACTTTTTCAGGAACTGATGTGCAAACTTGGAGGAGGTGGGCATAGCAACACATGCCGACACCCACACACACTGAGAAGTGTTCATGAGAACATGTACACACAGAAAAGGAGTGAGAAAGGAACTATGCAACTAGAGCTGACAAGACTACTCATCATTTTCATAGCTCTTAGAATGGAGCTGGCCTGGCACTATAGGAAGAGCAAAGCAATGAGCTATGAATCCAACAGGCAGATGACTATCAAAAAAAATAATTAATATTGGATAATCCACTAAGGAGAAAATGGTCATCGTCACAACAGCTGCCAGCATCCCACCAGAGACATATTGCATTCTCCAGAAGTGAGTGATAAAGTATGACCACAATGACATCACAAAAGGGGGAAAGGTAATTGGCAGAGATGACTATTCTATTTCAAAACAACACAGTTAAGAACTTAAGACCATTAACCACCCCCAGTCTCTATTAAAGATTAAAATACATGACTGAAAACAGATATAACTTCCACAGAATAAAAGGCAGTGCTCAGCCATTGACCACTCCTATTAAGTCACAGGATAAAACGGCACTCTGTCAAGAAGCAGAATCATTTCTACTAAGGGATGTTTTTCTTGCTGTTGTGGTTTCCTTAAAAAATTCAGAGAAATGTCAGGAATACTTACACTAGTAATCACACATGGAACTACCACTTCTGGTGAACACACTATTGCAATATCACTTACTTGTAATTGTATTTTCTCCAACATGAAGTGGGACTAAGAAAGATTCTACTTCCATGTGAACTTTCAGTTCTGAGCCACTGCAGGAACAACTAAGAGCCCCTGAATTTCAAGGCCCATGCGGATGTCTGCAGTTACATATGGGCTGAGTTGTCAGATAAGCCATCTGAATTTCAATGGCCATTCATCAAAACAACATTACATCCAAGAAAATATCTGATTTTCAGCAAACTGACAAGGAAAGGCTCAGGAGTTTTTCAGAACAGTGCTAGTTTGAAGTTACATACAGTTAATGGGAGGGAACCTATAATATAGTGCAATTCTGCACTCCTAAATTACCATGTACCACACACAATGAAGTCCATGACATAAAACTCAATGTTTTCCATCTTCTTTTTTTGCCTTGCTCTCCTCCTTTCAGCAGAGCTTTAATCCCTTTTACCCATTTAACCCTAAATGACTGCCCAGAGGGCTCTGACAGATGCTCCTATGCCTTCGAATGAGGCTTAACTGAATCTTAGTTTAAGTGCACAAGTATCACTCTTTTATTGTACAAGCTCTGGAACAACAGGGCTTCTGTGCCTGGCTCTGCAACAAACAAATGTACAAAGACATGCAGAACCTTTGTACACCCTATTACCAGGAGCAGTCAGCAAAAACCAGATACTAAGATTCATATTGACATTCTGGCCAGCTACAACACATGAAAAAATTAAAGTTTATACTCCAAAACATCCTACAAGAACTACATTCTTTCACACCGAAAAACTCGATGACTGTCCTGCAGGGAACCTGAGACTGGGAGATTTTAGCAAGAGACTTCCAGGCATAAAAGGAAGCTTCACTGCACCCACCCCAGTACAGCTCCTTTGCTCTGACAACACCATCAGACAGAGGTTAAGCAAGTCTTTAGAAGTCACATCAAAGCCACACTCACTTCAAGAAGATGTGAATATCCAAGTTTGTTTTTCAGTATATAGCCAGCTTATGCAAAATATGACATGAAATTCAAATCTACAGCCCTGGAAGTGAAAGCACAGCTCAGACCACACCCTGATGAGTGGCTCTGCTCCTCATTCATGTTTTGGGCACTGCTGGCAAGAGGAAAGGTCTCATACTACACAAACTCTTTTACTTCATGAATTACTCCTAACACCGGGTTTGCCTTCCCGCCCCCCCCCCCCCCCCC